TCCTCGATTTCCTTGGACAACCGTTGGTTGTCGCTCTCCAACCGTTCATTGTCAAGTTGGAGGCAATCCCTCTCCTCGGCAGCCTTTGCGGTCTTTTCCTTCTCCCCCGACAGCAGGTCGGCCTGCTCACGGAACATCTCCTTGGACCGCTCGAGGGCCGTCTTTAACTTACGTGACTTGGCAGCAAAAGCAGCCTTCTCTGATTCTAATTCCCTAACCCGGTCCGAGGAGTCTGATCCTTCCCCGGCAAGGACCACGGCCATCTCAGCCATCTTCACCACCCCGACCATGCTGGCAGCGAGGTGTTTCCTGCGGCCTTCTTTGTCAAGCCGTTTAATAGTCTCGGCCTCATTATCACTCACCGTCAGAGGAAACCCCTCGAAGAAATCCTTTTCTGCAAAGCAGGGCGGCAAGCCGAAGGCCCGGGTAGCTACGGCCTTGTTACCGGTCTCAGATCTGCTCTCAGTCCGACTCCTCTTCCTGGAAACCAGCTCAGTAGGTTGCTCAGCATCGGGAGAGTCCGAGGATCCGATGGACGCATCTCCGCCTGAACTGGTTGGCGAGCCAATCCTCGTAGCTTGTGGTGCCCTCACCAACCTCTTGTTTATCTTCTTGTCTTGGGTCAGCTTCAAAAGCCTCTCTCGATGCTCAACCATATGACCTGCGAACAAGGACGAACTCGGGTTAGCTACAAGCGAGAAAAAGCAATAAAATGGAATAAAACAATAAGAGAAGAATCAAGAAACCTAGAAGATCTACGGCCTGCCCGTAGGATTGGAACTCGACGAGCGCCTTGGTGTTGATGGGACGCGCCTCGAACGTCGGGTAGCCATCCTCATCAAGAATGTCATCCCCTTCCCTCGTGACCCACCGGGCGGGGAAGAAACTATCAACAAACTTGCAAAGAACAACATAGGCCTCCTCATCCTCGACGCTCATGCTCCCCGCAGGGGTATGATAATGCCCGGTGCCATGCTCGTAATGGCCCGCACACCAATGGATCGGGAACTTGGAGATCCGCCCGACCGCGGGACTACCCTCGGCATCCACGAGGGGCTCCCCATCCACGTCGACCACTACGGTTTCCGATTCGAATAGGGAGTCCAGGGTAGTTTGGGTGACCGGCTGCAGCACGTACCATTTATCTTTGAAATCCCTCACCGAGTCCATGTACATCCTGAACAGCCTTTTCGACTGTTTTAGGGATACCCAACTGTGCTTGCCTCCTAGAGACTGATGTTGTAGGTGAAAAACCCTGAAGAAAAGGGGAATCGTCACCCCAATCCTGAGGAAACGACAGGTAAGCTCGAACGCCCGGAGGAAGGATATCGCGTTGGGGTGAAGCTGCGAAGGAGCCAGATTCAGATGACTAAACACCCCGACTTGAAAGTCACTAAAGGGTAGCCTAAGACCGAGATCGCTGAACATAATCTCGTACATGGGGAATGCGTACTCCGTAAACTCCAAGCAGATACGGGCGTCAATCGTCGGCCTCATTATCCTAAAATTCTTTTGAAAACCTTTTTGAGTGTCGCCATGCTCGACAACAGTATAAGCACGCCGACTACGACGACAGTACGCTGAAGCAATCCCCCGGGGCTCGGCGCCCACCCAATCCAACGTAGGGTCGTCGATGGTGTCGACTAAAGTGATATTCTCTTCTGTACTTGTTTCCTCGACGTCATTATGTATCGAAGATTCCGGATTATCGTCCATTTACCTGCAAAGCACAGGAAACCGGTGAATTCGACAGCAAATCCGCGTGCTCGCCACAGAGGCGGGGAGAGGTACAAAACGATTCAGACTAAAAGTCGAACACTAACGCCCAGCTCCGACCATGCCTCGATCATGGATAAACACGAGCGTAACATGAGCACCCCGGGCGAATCCTGAATCACTCGAATAAGTTCCTGACTTCGCCTACCTGACACCAGAATACCGCGAGAAGACTACCATACACGCTTCCTAAAAGGATGAACATTCCGGCCAGTTCATGAGTATGCCGACCAAACGTATGAATATCGCGGGCAATATCGTGAATTATGTGCCTAAACTATGAATGTCACGGGCAATATCATGAACTACGCACCTAAAACTATGAATGTCACGGGCAATATCATGAACTACGTGCCTAAACTATGAGTATCTCGAGCACAATCATGAATCAGGCGCCTAGCGTGCTTGAATCTACCGGGCATTACTTCCAAAAAATAGATTTCTAACATAAAAAATATCATCAAAGCTACCTACAACACAGAAAAACAGGAGGAAGGGACGCTTACTTAGAAGAAAAGGGGTACAAACGACGGTGGCGAGAGAAATCAACGGCGAAGGGTGCGACGGTCTCACGGCGTTTCGGGAATCAACGGCAGCGGAAACAGAGAATGAAGGAGGAGCGTGAAAAGGGAAAAACAGATTATGGGCCCAAGGGTCCTATTTATAGAGATGGCGTGGAATGTGAAACGTCGCTCCGGGGAGACACGAGCTTCCCCCGTCCTCGACACCTACCCGCCTAGGCAATGATGGCCCTATTTACTAAGACGGCATTGTGGTTCCCAAGGGCTACACCACGTGCCCGACAGACGCAGCCTAGAGATTCCCATAAGAGTTCCTCGAGCATGCTTCGAAAGGCAAAGCCATGGGTCGGGCATTGGGTCCCCGACGAAAAAGCAAGCTGAGATCAAGTCGTAACTCCCATACCAGGAACAACGACTTGGGGGGCTCCTGTTCTGGACTGGGCCCACCTTGGCCCAAAGTGCAAATAAAGGCCCAGATCCAAGAAGCTCCTCGGGGAATGCTCACAATAGGACCATCACCGAACGTTCCCGACCACAGACTACAGCCGCAATGCCCGCCGCCGCCCTTGACGATCAGCGTCCCCGACCAAGGGGGCTCCAGCTCGAATCTAGCTCGAGCACCCTCCTCGTAGGGCAGATTCTGTCCTTTCTAACCGTTATGGAATCCTCAAGGCTCCGGAAAGACCGCGTCTACGTTCTTCCTTATTCTTCGCAGAGCACCATCCAGGAAGGGGACCACATGCAGGTCCTCATTACACACGTAGAACCTGACAGTCCCTTTATTGGGTCAGTTCTGGCCGACCCAATGAGGGGATCTTGGCCCATCGCTGGGGGCTATAAATACCCTGTACTTCAAGAGGGTCAGGTATTCATTCATTACACACCTACGTATTTTTTTGCCTTCTCATTCCGTCTCTCATTTTATCATCGGAGTGTCTTGCAGGTACCCCCCCCCCCCCCCCATTTTCATCCAAATCCAGTTCGAGCCAACTGTGACGGTCCAAGTCTGATCCGGTAAGATCAGATATATTTAATGAAACACAAGACAAAAACTTTACAAGACTTGATTAGTTTTAGCAACATAATCAAAAGAAAGTTTAATGTGCATATCAAGAGGACTAGCAGTGACAATGGGACAAAGTTTACTAACTCTGATTTCAAGTGTTTCACTCAAAAATAAGGGATCATGCGTGAAACTTCCCGTGTTGCCACACCTCAATAGAATGGGCGCGTGGAACCAAACATAGACAAATTTTGAACATAGGATGAGCCTTGAATTTTCAAGTAAATATTTCATTGTGTTTTTAGGGAGATTGTGTATTGACATTAGCATATCTAATCAATAGAATCCCTACAGTAGAAAATGAGGGAATCACTCCATACGAGTTACTCTTTAAGAGAGCACTAAACTATAAACACTTAAGAACTTTTGGCTGCTTGTGCTACAAGAAAAATAACTCAAAAGGAATCAGTAAAAGATGTATTTTTATTGGCTATCCACAAGTTCAAAAAGGATGGAAAGTTTACAATCTAAAGACTTGTGAATGCTGCATATCAAGAGATGTAGTGTTTTATGAGTACACCTTTCCTTACCTTTGCAAGACAATAATGTACCTACTAATTTTGGAAATAACTCATCAAATGATAACCTCAATGATGAGCCTTCACTCTAGAATGATTCAAAATTGGAAGCACCAAGCCTTGAGGAAATTCCTCATAATGAGCAAACATCGAGTCACATTGATAGTTTATCCATTAAGGAGTTTGAATACATAAACCAATCTGAGAGTGAGCCTATAGAGTAAGAACATGTATCATAGATGACGTGAACAAGGATGTCACCAATGATTCTTTAAAAAAATTACCAAGTGAAGGTGAAGTCTTAAATGAGGGGGAGCCTCAGGACATGCCACACATAAGACGACCTCCAAGTTATCTAAAAGACTATGATTGTAGAAAGCTAAACATAAATCTCATACAAAATCTTCTTCGGGTTATCTAATGAAACTTGGCAATGCTCCAATGTCATAGAAAACGAAGAAATAAGTCACAAACTCTCGATCCTCAAATGAGGCTGAATATCGTGCAATGGCACATGCCACAAGTGAGACTCTGCAAGTTCCATACATCAAACACACGCTTCTGCATTGTGTCAATCAACCAGCTCTTCATTTAGTTGCACACAGGTCTTTCATGAAAGAACAAAGCACAATGAAATTGATTGATATTTTATCAGAAAACACAATCAGGTGTCATAAACATAACTTACCTGCCCACCAAACAACAAAATACTGACATTTTTATTAAATCCTTAGGTATGAAAGTATTTCAAGACCTCATATTCAAGTTGGGTGTTCATAATCTTCACCCTCCAATTTGAAAGAGAGTATTAGAGATATATTTAATAGTTTGTTATTAGTATTTAATAGTTTGTTATGTTTGTCTTATTAAGTTAACTATTAATAAGTTTGTCTTATTCTAAATTGAAGAGCTGTTTTTGACTAAACGTCTAATTAAGTAAAAATAGAACATACGTATATTATAGATTGTAGTTCTCATTCAGACATGGAAAACATCACAAAAGCAAATAAAACCCAAAATTTCACATTCCCATCATCTTAAGTTTTGAAGACTTATTTAGAAAGAAAAAAAAAACATTCGTAGATAAACAAACAACTATCTTATCTCCTTGCATCTCTCTTTTCACTTTTGCTTCTTGATGAAAACACTTGTCAAAACCATCTTTGATTGTAGAGACGCCTTAAGCAACTCGATACCCTGTTACACAATAAATATATGCAACTCTAAAAACACAACTAATTAGAAATTTGTATAGATAATTAAGTTAAGTTAGCTTTTACCTCATCCATACCCATCTCAACCACCTTTTCTTGCAAAGTACCAATCTCTTTCACATTGAACTTGTTCAACAGTGTGATGCTAGATATAGTTGACATGGGCTCGATCACCAAATCATCCATCACCATGAAAGTCACAACATCTTTCACAAACCCACTCTTAATCATATTAGAAGCTTTCTTTTCAGCAACCTTCTTATCTCCAACACGGAGTACTTCACAGGACATATAATTACCGCAACAACAATAAGTTTGTTTATTTGATGTCACATTATAGTTACATCTATTTGGGCACATGTATAACTTAGTTCCTTCCTCGTCATCATCTTTGGCAGCGTTCTGGGTAAGAAAACCAGAGATGTGAGTTGAAGAGATTTGAGCTTTAGGGTTTAAGAGAACATCTTTAGTTTGGTCTGGCAGCATGTAATTCTGGTTGAGGTTTTCAACACTCTGATAAAGATTACCCAAGCTGCCTACCATGCCATTAGCACTTAGTAGCTTCACTACAGTGCCGATAGGCAAGCATAGAAGGTTGAAAAGAAAATCTATGACAGATTTTGAAGCTTCAGCAAAGAGAACCTTTTGATTCTTTGTATCTATAAGAAGCTTCATGGACACTTTGGTGGAAGAAGGAGTTGCAGCCATGTTATTGAAAGGTTTCTAATACTACATAAAAAGCAGTAGAAGAGAGTATCCATTTATAGGCAAACTGAAAGAGATGCGAGTAGTTGCATAATTAATGAAAATCGTAAGAGTAACCTCCTGCTACTAAGCTTGGATTATGGAAAGCCAGTAGTCCCTTGCAACCATTCCTTGTCGTTATGATTATCATCTATTACTATCCAAGTGTTCATAATGTTTTTTGATTCCTATTCAAATAATACAATAAAGTAGATACAAGAAATGAAATTTTTAAAAGTTTAATGGATATCCATTGTCGGGTAAATAAATTTAATTATCTAAATATAGGAAGAGTATCCCATCTAAAAAAAATATAACGTTAAATATAAATATTTTAAAATTAGTGTAAAATATCTCATCTCTCAATTAAATATATACTAATCTTACACTTTGAATATAATTATTATTGGATTAATTTTTGCACTAGATTGACATTCATATTTTTATAAGGACTAAAATCTATTTATTATAAATGTAAAGAAGTTTCGAAAGTAAACCTAATTTAATCCTAGCTTAGGTGTCAATTTTATAAATATTTTAATTTATGTGTCAATCTCACAAAAATCTAAACTTTGAAACTAATTATAGAATTTGATGTGACTTCTTTAAAAATCAATTTATTTCAATTTTTTAAAATAAATAATAGTCGATACAATTTCACTCTTCATTCCTATTTTTCATTTACGCAAATCATTTATTCATAATCAACCGTTAGTTGGTTTAAGAGACTGAAACTATTTGATACCAGAGCTGATCCCTAAAAAATCATTTATTCAAATTAATTGACAATATAAAAAGAGATGTTATTTTTTTCTTTTCATCTATTATGATATAATATAGTGAAAATATGCTAATGTAAAATATGTTAATGTATAATTAATTATCTTTATGTTTTTGAAAATAATAATCTATCTTCTTTTATTTATTTAATATTGAGGATATATATCTGATTCTTTTCTTTCTTTTTTTTTTTTTGTCTTTTTTTCGTGAGAAATATACTAATGTATAATTCTATCTATATTTTTTTGACAAAAATAATCTACCTTTTATTTAGTTAATATTAAAATATATATATCTAATTATTTCTATTCACTATCACCGTCTTCTTCTTTCTTTTTTTTCTGAGAAATATGTTAATATATAATTTATATATACATAAATAATGATACCAATCTTTTACTTTTATATCCTTTCTTATAGAATTTATTTGATTATATTGAATATTATCATTTAAAAATTTACTATCAAAATTGATTCATTGAATTTTATAAATAATTTAATAAAATTCTAAATTTTAAATATTAAAATTATTTATTTAAGTAAATTTCCATAAAAACACTTTTAATAATGTTAAGTTAACATCAATAATAATAATAATAATAATAATAATAATAATAATAATAATAATAATAATAATAATAATAATAATAATAATAATAATAAAATTAATAATAATAAGTCATTTTCCGTATTTAAAACGATTGTCTTTATTTTAGTTAGAATTTCATAATTTTTTATTTCAAGTAACTATTACATTTAGATAATTTAATTTCTATTAGCTATTGCATTTGGATAATTTTATTCATTATTTATTATTTTGTTTAAAATTTTATATGCATATTTTTCTCATGATGATAATCTTGAACACAAACATAACCAAAATTAGTATCATATTAGAATCTGTTTATGTGGCATCATATTAAAAATTAAAATTTTTATCACTCTTTTTTTAATTCTTCACACTAACTGCAATTCAATACCACAATTAATAATGATATTAAAATAAATAATAATAATAATAATATATTTAATCACCACTATTAATAATAATAATATAATATTTAAAAAATAATAATAATAAAATAAAATATAATATATATATATATATATATATATATATATATATATATATATATATATATATATATATATATATATATATATATATATATATATATATATATATATATATATATATATATATATATATATATATATATATATATGTTCTGGACTGGGCCCGACAGGCCCAAAAGCATTGTAAAGGCCCAGTCCAAATGGAATTACAAGGGCCACGCCGACCAGAGAGCACGACTTGCTGCTCGACGGCAAACCTCCTGCTCGACATGCTGCGGTCCAGCACCACAACCTGAGGTCCTGCTCGACATTACCTTGAGCAATCCAGCTGGGGCAGACTCAGTCCACTCTTCCCCCAACGATACTCCGAAAAGACCGCGTCTCCGTCCGCCTGCACTTCACGCAGGACATCCAGGAAGGGGACCACATGCGGGTCCCCACTACGCACGTAGAACCTGGCAGTTCCTCCATTGGGCCAAACCTGCCCGGCCCAATGAAGGAACCTTAGCCCAGCGCTGGGGGCTATAAATACCCTCTGCTTCCAGAGGGTCAGGTATTCATCATTCTAACCTTACACTTGCCATTATCTGCTCGTACTCCTACTTACTTCAGCATCGGAGTGCCTTGCAGGTACCCCCCCCCCCCCCACCTCGTTCAAAAAGCTTTCTGCTCGGAGCCAGCCGTGACGGTCCATTTCTGATCAGGTCAGATCAGTGGCGCCGTCTGTGGGAAGCTAGCTTCCCCGTCTAACGAACAACTCTAAAGACCAAAGCTCAATTCAACTACCTGTCATGGCTGATCCAGCTCGCGACGAGCAGCCCGTCCGTGTCGCTGACACTAATAACGGTACCGCGGACAAGAATGGACACCTCGACAACCCCGGTGATCCCGGCCACAGTACCATCCCTGTGACGACCGCCCCTGGACCTTCCTCCTACAGGGACGGGGCTACTGCATCATCCTCTTCGACCCCTCCAGCACTCGAAGACGACCCGGTAGCTCTCGCTCATTACAGAGCTGCCCGGTTCCATGAAGTCCCAGTTCCCGCCGGGGCAGATGCCACGACTCAGGCACTGTTCGCGACCATTAATCAGACAAATTATCTCATCTTCGCCCAAGGAGAAAGATTAAGGGCACTTGAAGATGATCGACGACCCCCGAGGAGGCATCGGAGGCCACATTCTCCACCTCCTCGGGTCACGGAAGTTCGACACCCTTCTCCCCCGCGGAGACACTACAGGGAGAACTCCAGGAGCCCCTCTCCCCGGCCAAAGCAGAGGCGACCCTACTATGAGAGGCAGCCCGCCATCCCTGCCGGAGAACCCAGTCGCGACCCGTCAAGGCACGACAAGAGGCACGCCGGGGACGGGCGTGTGACCTTCAACCACCGAGCATCACGCTCGAGGGAAACTCAGCACGATCGTCGCGCCAGACATAACTACAGGACCCCTTCTCTTTCTCCGGAGAGGAGCGACGAGGACGACCCCCGCGGTCCCCTGTCGTAGGCCATCATGGATGCACCCATCCCCCCGGGCATGGAGAAGCCCCCGCATCTGAAGGAGTATGACGGAGTAGCGGACCCTGTCAACCACATTGACGGGTTCGAAGCCATGCTCCACTATCATAATGTCGGGGGGCCCATCAAGTGCCGTCTTTTCCCCACGACTCTCAGGAAGGCGGCCATGGACTGGTATAAAGGACTCGCCCCGGGCTCAATCACGTCGTGGCGGAACCTGAAGAACCAGTTCATCAGTTCCATCACAGCTTCTCGGCGCCATCCGAAGACCGAGGCGGCCCTCGAGGCCATCATCCAAAGACAGGATGAAACCTTGAGGGAGTTCATCAACCGCTTCAACCGAGAAGCAATACAGGTCCCCTGCGCGGACCATATGAAAAGATACTTGCTGGAGAGGGGTCTCCTCCCCGGCACAGAATTCAGAAAGGCTGTGGGTATTGAGCCACCTCCAACTTTTGATGCCCTCCTCGACAAGGCCCGAGCATACATGGACTACGAGGAGAGGGAAGCTGCCAACAGGGCCCGAGACTCCAGAGCTCGCGGTCCCAACAACAGCAGCAGCTCTCGACAAGAGGCTCTCCCCCGACGTACCGGGGAGAAAAGGAAAGAAGACCGACCCCGGGAGGCCCGGGAACAAAGGGGCCCCTCGGGCCGTTTCACTGAGTACACTCCGCTCACAGCTTCCCGCGAGCGTATTTTGGCGGAGTGTGCCAGTACAGACTTCAGAGACGGTGGCGTCAAGCGTCCCCGACCTGCTCCCGCCAAGCCAGGGGCAGATAAAAATAAATACTGTCAATACCATAGGAGTCATGGTCATTTGACGGAGGACTGCGTCCACCTCAAGGACGCCATTGAAACCCTCATCAAGGGGGGAAGGCTCGCACAGTACAGGCGAAACAACGCTCCCCGTCGTGACGCCCATGAAGCCAAGGAGCCCGAAGAAGACGTCCGACCATCAGACGAGTCGGTGCCTATCCAGACCGCTTTCTCGGTAACCAGGCCCGAGGATTTCGACGTTCCCGAGCTCCTGCAGGAGCCCCTGACAACACACAGTAGGTGGGAATATTTCCCCTCCGCCATGGTCATCAACGGGGGCGGGTTCAACGACCTCACCATCAATTCGGCTAAGAGGAAGTTGGACGAGCTGGTCGACATAGCTCCTCCACAAATTGTAACGTTCGAAAGGGTGAAGGGCAGGTCAGAGCCCATCACCTTCTACCTGGAAGAACTCCCCGGCGGAGCCCCGAACGCGGTCATCCCCTTACTGATAAGGGCAAAAATGGCCAATTTTGACGTGCATCGCATCCTGGTCGACGAAGGGAGTTCCGTCGACGTGATGTACAGCCAGCTGTTCCGGACCTTACAACTGGACGACTCACATCTCTCTCCGTATGTGGGTTCGGATCTTCAAGGCTTCAACGGCTCGACTTCCAAACCTTGGGGTTATGTCGAGCTCCTGGTTACGTTCGGCGAAGGAACGGCTACGCGACAGGTTAAGGTCCGCTTCCTCGTCATTGATTGCCCGTCTCTATACAATTGCATCTTGGGGAGACCGACACTGGCGGAGCTGACAGCGGTGCCCTCGACTGTC